ACTCAAATCTCTGAATATGTTAGATATTAAGTCACTGCACATTCTCTCATGTGTATTATATATATATAAAACGCTGAACTGTAATGTCAATCCTGACCTTAAAAGCTTCCTAGAAGGTTGTAACAGAACCCATGAGCACCACACCAGAAACAAATACCTATTTTATATTCCAAGAGTATGAAAAACTAGAAATGCTCTACAATTCAAGGGACCCAGAATGTGGAATGACCTTCCCAATCATGTTAAAGACTGTACCTCTCTCAACCAGTTTAAGATAAAAACTAAGCACTACCTAATTAACTCCCTGTAACCTACCTTACCCCTATAATGTCAACCCATGTCTGCTATTTTAAACAATGCTGTTTGTTGACCAAATTGTATATTTGCTATTTTTCTGCCATGTTCCCCCCTTTTTTTATTTTTTTATTTTCTCAACGCAATTTATACTTTAATCTTAATTAGTATTAAGTTATAGTCTTTAGTGTTTTTCCTGCCCGAAACGCTTTGCATCATAGTGGCTTTAGGCATTGTATGTACTAGCTCTATCTATAAATCCATCAATGTTTGTATCACACCTTGTATGTATGTACTTTACCTGAATAAACATTTGAATTTGAATTTGAATAATATCTGAAGTAGCAACTCGGAGAAAATGGAAGAAAATGCAGAATAGAACCAATGAAGAGCAGAGGTGCCATAGGCACAATCAGAGAACACTGTATAAACATCAGAGGTCCGCGGTTGTTCAACGTCCTCCCAGCAAGCATAAGAAATATTGCCGGAACAACCGTGGACGTTTTCAAGAGGAAACTAGATTTATTCCTCCAAGGAGTGCCGGACCAACCGGGCTGTGGTGGGTATGTGGGCCTGCGGGCCGCTCCAAGCAACAGCCTGGTGGACCAAACTCTCACAAGTCGAGCCTGGCCTCGGGCCTGGCTTGGGGAGTAGAAGAACTCCCAGAACCCCATCAACCAGGTATCAACCAGGTAACCAGGAGGTGAGGGAGACATTCGTGTGTGTGGAGAGGAGCGACGTGGCTGGTACACTCAGTAGCAAGTAGAGAGGTCTGCTGATAACATATCTGAGTCAGTTAAGTTGTGTATGGTTGTGTTCATAACCGTAAGATGTTTAATTAGTCTGGCATTCTAATAATACTGATACGTGTACTCACCTAATTGTACTCACCTAATTGTGCTTGCGGGGGTTGAGCTCTGGCTCTTTGGTCCCGCCTCTCAACGGTCAATCAACTGGTGTACAGATTCCTGAGCCTACTAGGCTCTATCATATCTACATTTGAAACTGTGTATGGAGTCAGCCTCCACCACATCACTTCCTAGTGCATTCCATTTACTAACTACTCTGACACTGAAAAAGTTTTTTCTAACGTCTCTGTGGCTCATTTGGGTACTCAGCTTCCACCTGTGTCCCCTTGTTCGCGTCCCACCAGTGTTGAATAGTTCATCCTTGTTTACCCGGTCGATTCCCCTGAGGATTTTGTAGGTTGTGATCATGTCCCCCTTACTCTTCTTGTGTATATGCCATTATGTGTTTATATAGTCGATTGTGATCAATAAGCCCATATTAAAATAATTTATGTCATATACACAATTATAAGTTAAACTTTTGTTCCTAGTTTTGTGTTCCTGAATATTCCTTACTGGAGCCTGCTGAAGCACCTCACGGGGTGTTACTGGTGCCTGCTGAAGTACCTCACGGGGTGTTACTGGAGCCTGCTGAAGTACCTCACGGGGTGTTACTGGTGCCTGCTGAAGTACCTCACGGGGTGTTACTGGTGCCTGCTGAAGCACCTCACGGGGTGTTACTGGTGCCTGCTGAAGCACCTCACGGGGTGTTACTGGTGCCTGCTGAAGTACCTCACGGGGTGTTACTGGTGCCTGCTGAAGTACCTCACGGGGTGTTACTGGTGCCTGCTGAAGCACCTCACGGGGTGTTACTGGTGCCTGCTGAAGTACCTCACGGGGTGTTACTGGAGCCTGCTGAAGTACCTCACGGGGTGTTACTGGTGCCTGCTGAAGTACCTCACGGGGTGTTACTGGTGCCTGCTGAAGTACCTCACGGGGTGTTACTGGAGCCTGCTGAAGTACCTCACGGGGTGTTGGGGATCACGCTCTTGAACATAAGAGCGTGATGGGCCTAGGTATTAGTTATTGCTGTGTCAGGCACGAGCCAAGTGATAACCAGTGGAGGACAACATACCCCAGGTATCCTTCACTAGTTCCTAGGAGCTTTTACTAGTTCCCATTTGCCCTTACTAGCCTTCAACTGTCCTCAGTAGCCCCAAGCAGCCCCAACACCACCATGCAATAGTCCCCAGCTGCCTCCAGTAGTCTTTAAGAGTCCTCACTAACGCCTCACGTATCCTCAAAGAGGTCAATAGTCCCTAGACACCTTCAATAGCCCCTAGTAATCCTCATGAAGAATCAGTAGTCCTCAGCACCATCATTAGCAGCCACTAGTCTCCAGTAGTAGCTAGGAGCACACAGTAGCCTCCAGTAGTAGCTAGGAGCACACAGTAGCCTCCAGTAGTAGCTAGGAGCACACAGTAGCTAGGAGCACACAGTAGCCTCCAGTAGTAGCTAGGAGCACACAGTAGCTAGATGCACCCAGTAGCCTCCAGTAGTAGCTAGGAGCACACAGTAGCCTCCAGTAGTAGCTAGGAGCACACAGTAGCCTCCAGTAGTAGCTAGGAGCACACAGTAGCTAGATGCACCCAGTAGCCTCCAGTAGTAGCTAGATGCACCCAGTAGCCTCCAGTAGTAGCTAGGAGCACACAGTAGCCTCCAGTAGTAGCTAGGAGCACACAGTAGCCTCCAGTAGTAGCTAGGAGCACACAGTAGCTAGATGCACCCAGTAGCCTCCAGTAGTAGCTAGGAGCACACAGTAGCCTCCAGTAGTAGCTAGGAGCACACAGTAGCTAGATGCACCCAGTAGCCTCCAGTAGTAGCTAGGAGCACACTGTAGCCTCCAGTAGTAGCTAGGAGCACACAGTAGCCTCCAGTAGTAGCTAGGAGCACACAGTAGCCTCCAGTAGTAGCTAGGAGCACACAGTAGTAGCTAGGAGCACACAGTAGCCTCCAGTAGTAGCTAGGAGCACACAGTAGCCTCCAGTAGTAGCTAGGAGCACACAGTAGCCTCCAGTAGTAGCTAGGAGCACCCAGTAGCCTCCAGTAGTAGCTAGGAGCACCCAGTAGCCTCCAGTAGTAGCTAGGAGCACACAGTAGCCTCCAGTAGTAGCTAGGAGCACACAGTAGCCTCCAGTAGTAGCTAGGAGCACACTGTAGCCTCCAGTAGTAGCTAGGAGCACACAGTAGCCTCCAGTAGTAGCTAGAAGCACCCAGTAGCCTCCAGTAGTAGCTAGGAGCACACTGTAGTCTCCAGTAGTAGCTAGGAGCACACAGTAGCCTCCAGTAGTAGCTAGGAGCACCCAGTAGCCTCCAGTAGTAGCTAGGAGCACCCAGTAGCCTCCAGTAGTAGCTAGGAGCACCCAGTAGCCTCCAGTAGTAGCAAGTAGTAACTATCAAGAACATGTCCAGGAAATAGAACAAACGTCCACTGGGTCAGGACTCGTCGCACTACATGAGCTACAGTTGGGTAAGGCAGGGCCCGGGAGTTACACCTCGGTCCAGCAAGTACTGCTAGGGAAGTTCACATATGACGTGTACACCTGTACTGTAGGAAGTCAACTGTACTTCCTAGAGAAATTCAGTCGATGCAAGAATACAATTATTACAGCATTACGTTTGTGTTACAAACCCGACTCCATCGTCGGAGCACGGAGCAGCGACGTCAATGCCATCTGTGAGTCCGCTCCTGAAACCCCCACAAATTGGACGACGCCATCTAGTGGTGACAGGATTATACCAGCAAGAGGCGCTAGATTCCTGTCCTAGTTAGCTCGAGAGGCAGCTGGTGCTGACCTCTGACGAGGTGGCACCTAGAAAATCAGCGCCATCTTTTATAGGAGGAATTGTATGTCTATGTCAGAGTACGTAAGTGATGCTTCCTAGTGTCCCATGTACTGACCAGTGTACTGATGACGTGTCTGTATCCACAGAGTCGACGTAGGGCTGCTGTGGTACGAGGACAGTCAGTCTACCCAGGGCAGCCAATAGCTATCTACTCCATTCTGCTTTACGGAAGCAGTGAGCCGCCGCCGGAGAAGAACTGTGTAGTGTTCTACTGTCTGCCTGTGAAGTGGCAGTGACAGAATTTGGCGTACCTGGGACTGGCTAACGGAAGAGGCGAATGAAAGTAAGGTGCTACAGAGGAGTGTAACCAGTGAGTTGCAAGAAGCTCCTGCCAGTATTTGTATTTGTACTCTTATATTTGTACATGTAGAGGCCCAGCAGCGCGGGGCTGATGTTCTCTGCCAGCACCAGGCTGGAGGGTGATTGTGGGCGTTCACAAGGAGCACCTAGTGAGACTGTGTTTTGGCTGGCCCGTGGCCAGGGTAGACTCGTTGGTGTTTCCCAGTACTGGTTGAGGACGGTACTGTGTTGAGGAAACACGGTTGCTGACAAGACTGCATCGATTGAGCATCGAGGAGCGTTTAGTGTCCTATGAGAGAGACACTTGTGTATATATTAAGTGTAGTAATACTTCCTTTAGGATTATATATGAGGTGATGGGAAAGTGATTATATGTGAATATATTGATAATTGATGACGTGTCGTATTCAATGCACCTCCCCCATTGTGTTTTACTTGCATTACTGAGCTCACTCCTTGAAAGCCACTACTAACTTAGGGCCGGATACCAGAACTTTAGTTCCACCAGCAAAGAACCCGGTTGCGACCCATTGAGGCCGTAACAGTTAGCATTCATCAGGCCCCAAGCAACTGCTGCTGGCGTAATGTAGCTGCTGGTGTAGCCCCTAAAAGCAACTGCTGTCAATAGCAAACAACTGCCTGTAGCCTCAAACACGTGCCAATAGCAGCCGGCAGGCGCAAGGCACCAGCCACAATTGTAGTAACCCTTACCACTATTCTCGCTGGAAGGGAAGGCTCCGGGAAGGGCGTTGTCATCGAGGAGACTCACTGGAGGGTTCTGCTGGTTACCGAACTGGATGTCCTCCGCTGAACGCTTGCTGGCTGTGGGGAGACTTGGCGCTCAATGTATAGCTCACCAGAGGGAGAGACAGAGAGAGAGAAAACACATATAACTCCTTAAAGGTTTTCCTTACTAATGGGAATAGTAATGATAAATGTTAAATATTTGACTTTACACATTAATTCCCACAGTTATACTGAGTGGCGACACTGCTGAATGTTATGGTGCACATTACCAAGACAACAGACACCTCAGGGCTGAACATCAGTACTAGACACGGGCCTCACTAGACGCCAGCGTCCTCACCCGGCGGGAGGACAGTAGGACTAACACAGTGTTGATGACTCTCACCTGTTGGGGAGGGCGGGGCGCTGAGGGCCACGCCCACCAGGAGTGCCACTGTCAACACCACCATCACCACCAGTCTGGAGCAGGAGGAGCCGCCCACACTCATCGTCGCACGCCCGCACGCCTGCCAGGGGACATAACACAAGGCAATGAAATAGCAGTACGGTTATGTCAATAAGAAAATCTTTGGAGTTGGATGGTGGACTCGAACGTCCGTTACCTTCACCAAAGTGTGTGAGGGAGATATGGAAATATGGACTGGGCACCTCCTCGGTGCCTCCAAGACTCCACAGTGTTGTGTAACTTTTGAGCATGTCATGGTCCGGGGGTTAAGGCGCGCGTCTGGGGACACCCGGCACGCTGCTTCATCCCCGTCCTAGTGGCTCCTAAAGTTTTCTCATAACATAAAAAGTTAGGATTCTACAAAACACCTATTGGCCCATGAGAGGCAGCTATTATTGGCCCATGAGAGGCAGCTCCTATTGGCCCATGAGAGGCAGCTATTATTGGCCCATGAGAGGCAGCTCCTATTGGCCCATGAGAGGCAGCTCCTATTGGCCCATGAGAGGCAGCTCCTATTGGCCCATGAGAGGCAGCTCCTATTGTGCCATGAGAGGCAGCTATTATTGGCCCATGAGAGGCAGCTCCTATTGTGCCATGAGAGGCAGCTCCTATTGGCCCATGAGAGGCAGCTCCTATTGGCCCATGAGAGGCAGCTCCTATTGGCCCATGAGAGGCAGCTCCTATTGTGCCATGAGAGGCAGCTATTATTGGCCCATGAGAGGCAGCTCCTATTGGCCCATGAGAGGCAGCTCCAATTGTGCCATGAGAGGCAGCTCCTATTGGCCCATGAGAGGCAGCTCCAATTGTGCCATGAGAGGCAGCTCCAATTGGCCATGAGAGGCAGCTCCTATTGGCCCATGAGAGGCAGCTCCTATTGTGCCATGAGAGGCAGCTCCTATTGTGCCATGAGAGGCAGCTCCTATTGGCCCATGAGAGGCAGCTCCTATTGTGCCATGAGAGGCAGCTCCTATTGACCCATGAGAGGCAGCTCCTATTGTGCCCATGAGAGGCAGCTCCTATTGTGCCATGAGAGGCAGCTCCTATTGTGCCATGCCCATGAGAGGCAGCTCCTATTGTGCCATGAGAGGCAGCTCCTATTGGCCCATGAGAGGCAGCTCCTATTGGCCCATGAGAGGCAGCTCCTATTGGGCCATGAGAGGCAGCTCCTATTGGCCATGAGAGGCAGCTCCTATTGGCCCATGAGAGGCAGCTCCTATTGGCCCATGAGAACCAGGCACAGTGAGAGGTTGTGTTAACCGGAGCTCCTGAGTGTTGTTATATTATCATAGCAATATGGAAGTTGTAGTGAAGGACCTGGTGACTCTAGTGGGAGCCCTGAGGACAGAGTTGGACTCTCTGCGGGAGGAGGTGCGTCAGCTTAAAAAACAACGAGAAGTAACGAAGGAGGAGACCAGCAGTAAAGGGACCTCGTCTTGGAGAGTTGCGAAAGACAGGGGCCTTAAGAAGACTTTGATAAAGCCGCCTTCAAACGCCATAGCAACTTCAAATTCATTTGACGTTTTGGAGGACGAGTGCTGTGGAGAGACTGTGGATCGCGCAAAAGGGAAAGCAACGAAGAGAAAGGAAGCGCAGGCCCCTCAGAAAGTAAAGGAAATACCTAAGCAAACATTAGTTGTGGGAGATTCCCAGATAAGGTATTTGGATAGAACGTTTTGTGCTAGAGATAGGGGGAACAGGTTAAGGGTTTGCTATCCCGGAGCTGGCATTGGTGATATTATAAACAACATGAATGATATTATGGCTGGTAATGGGAACAATCCCATTATTTGCATTAGCGTGGGAGGAAATGATGTTGGTCGAGTCAGGAGTGAGGAACTGATTCAGAGGTATAAAACAGCCATAGAGTTAGTTAGGAGCAAGGGAGGAATCCCGATCATATGTGGCATTCTTCCAAGAAAGGGAGTGGGAAATGAATGGATATCGAGGGCACTTGGTGTCAATTGCCGGCTGGAAAGATATTGCAAATCAAATGCAATATCTTTCATAGACAACTGGGAACACTTCTATGGAAGAAATGAAATGTATGCTCGTGATGGGGTGCATCTATCGAGAGCTGGGTTGTTGCTGTTGCTAACTCGCTAGAAGAAGTGGTTAGAGGTGTTTGTTTGGGTTTAAACTGTTAGTAGATAGAGGTATGGGAATTGATTTGGAGGAAGGAGGTAATAAAAGTATGTGTTTGTGGGAGAAAGGAATTGGCAAAACGATCAGGGAAAGAGAAGGTCCGCAAAATAACAATTCACTTAGGGTATATTACACTAACAGTAGAAGTCTAAGAAATAAATTAACGAATTAAATGCTCTTGTCTGCACAGAAAAAATAGATATTATTGCACTTACCGAAACGTGGATGAATGTAGAAAATAGAGAACTATTAGCTGAATATCAAATATATGGATTTAAACTATTTCACACAGATAGATATATTAGACGAGGAGGTGGAGTAGCCATATATGTTAGGGACAATTTGAAATGTAGTCTCAAAGAGGGAATCAAAACAGAGCCACACACAGAAACTATTTGGATTGAATTAAACGAAAAAGCTAATAATATTATAATAGGAGTAATATATAGGCCACCAAATTTAGACAGAATGGAAGCAAAGCATCTATGGGATGAAATATCTAGAGCATCTAGATCTAACAGTATTTATGTCATGGGTGACTTTAATTTTAGCGGAATAAACTGGTTGAACAAAACAGGGAATAGTGAAGCAGAAGATTTTCTAGAATTAATTGACGATTGCTTTCTTACGCAACACATTAAGGAACCAACACGGGAAAATAATATTTTAGATTTAGTGTTAACTAACAGGGAAACGCAAATTAATGACATCGAAATAGGGAGTGAGCTAGGGAGCAGTGATCACAAAGAAATCAGATTTAGCATAGAATGGAATAGACCAGTAGGAGAAAATTCTGTTAAAGTGCCAGATTTTCGAAAAGCTGATTTTAATAGCCTAAGAAATTTTTTGGGTCAAATTGATTGGAAAGGCTTGGGTATGGGGTGTGGGCCGGTCTTGGAGCGAGACATGAACCCAGCGATAGGTGACTTAAATGGGGATTTCGATGTGGATTCAATATATAACTTATTTAAGAATATTCTAAACAAAGCACAGGAACGTAGTATACCATACAAATTGAATAGATCGTATACTAATGACCCAAAGTGGATAACAAAGAATTTGAAGAACCTTATAGGTAAAAAGAGAGCTTGGTACAAAAGGATTAAAAATGGGGAGGTCACTTTAGAACAGGAATTCGTACAACTGGTTAGAAATGTTAAAAAAGAGATAAGGAAAGCAAAAAGGAACTATGAAGTTCGCATAGCAGGGCAAGCAAAGACAAATCCTAAAGGGTTTTTTCAGTTATATCGTACTAAGACTAGGGAAAGGATAGGTCCATTAAAAACTGAGACAGGTCAAATAACAGATAGTGATGAAGAGATGAGTAGTATTTTTAATAAATATTTTGTATCTGTATTTACTAAAGAGGAACTTAACAATATGCCTTCAGCCGAACAAGTCTATGTGGGTGGGGACGAGGACAGGTTGACGAGTTTAGCAGTTACCAGGGAGGATGTTCTTAAACAAATAGTAAAACTCAAACCAAACAAATCCCCAGGGCCGGATGAAGTGTTTGCTAGGGTGCTTAAAGAATGCAAAGAGGAGCTTTGTGACCCACTGTCAACCATATTTAATAAATCAATAGAGTCAGGCAGAGTGCCAGAGTTTTGGAAAGTTGCTAATGTGATACCAGTTTTTAAGAAAGGAGATAGATCACTTGCGTCTAACTATCGACCAATTAGCCTAACGTCTATTGTGGGAAAGTTACTCGAATCTATAATAGCAAATAAAATTTGTCTTCATCTTGAAAAACATAAATTAATAATTGTGTCGCAACATGGTTTTATAAATGGCCGTTCATGTTTAACAAATTTGTTATCTTTTTATTCTAGCATTGTTGAGGCAGTTGATAGTGGTAAGGATTGCGATGTTGTATATAAGAACATAAGAACATAAGAACAAAGGTAACTGCAGAAGGCCTATTGGCCCATACGAGGCAGCTCCTATTCTATAACCACCCAATCCCACTCATATACTTGTCCAACCCGTGCTTGAAACAATCGAGGGACCCCACCTCCACAATGTTACGCGGCAATTGGTTCCACAAATCAACAACCCTGTTACTGAACCAGTATTTACCCAAGTCTTTCCTAAATCTAAACTTATCCAATTTATACCCATTGTTTCGTGTTCTGTCCTGTGTTGATACTTTTAATACCCTATTAATATCCCCCCGGTTATGTCCATTCATCCACTTGTAAACCTCGACCTCACCTAACCTTCTTAGTATGTTAAGATGAGCATCTTAATCTTGCTTCTTAATTACAATTATTACTTAACCTATACCGTTGAGAGGTTAAGTAATAATTGTAAATAAGAAGCAATAAGATACTTATCTTAACATACTAAGAAGGTTAGGTGAGGTCGGTGTCTTGTTACTAACGCTGCGATTAATAAATCCAAGTGTCCGATTTGCCTTATTACGAACATTTATGCATTGATCCTTTTGTTTTAAATTCTTACTAATCATAACTCCCAGATCCCTTTCGCAATCCGACTTCGCAATCACAACACCATCTAGCTCGTATCTTGTAACTCTATCATCATTACCTAACCTCAGAACTTTACATTTATCAGCATTAAACTGCATCTGCCAATCCTTTGACCATTTCAAAACCCTATCTAGATCAACTTGAAGTGATAGTGAGTCCTCCTCCGAATTAATTTCCCTACCGATTTTCGTATCATCGGCAAATTTGCAAATGTTGCTACTCAAACCTGAATCTAAATCATTTATATATATTATAAACAACAGAGGTCCCAGGACAGAGCCTTGAGGCACTCCACTTACAACATTTTCCCACTCTGACTTGATTCCATTTATACTAACTCTCTGTTTCCTTTGGTATAGCCATGCCCTAATCCAGCTTAATATAGCACCCCCAATACCATGAGACTCTATTTTTTTAATCAGTCTTT